ATAAAATGTTTTTAATTGTGTACCAGTTTAACGTTGAATATTATTTATGATTTTAACATACGACATTATTTAATAAAGCTTGCATAAAAATGTTAATAACAAACTGTTAAAAGCTTGAATTTTTAATGCTATTAGAAATCTAAACTTCAATGCAGAATCATATTTCAAGTAAGTACCAGTATCCATGTAGATGTGATAAAATAATTACCTATGATGTGAATTTGTATGAGAGAGTACAAAAAGGTAATTTGTTGTCAAAAAACCTTTTCATTAGTTCAGCCAGAGATAAATACAAACAAAAAATAAGCACTAATAAATCCATTCACCTGGAATTTTCATCTCAGCTCTTTATATTATAATTTCTAATCTCCAGTTTGCACATAACTACCTTAATTCAGAAAAATGTTAATACTAAATATTCACAAATTGTTTTTATTTTTAACTCAATATTACTACTGACAGGAAACTAATACACGTAGATATGAAATATTTTCATACCGAGTTTATCAACAAAACTATTAAAGATTTTTACTTGTAGCGTGTATCCTTTACTCTACAGAAATAGCCTCTAATAAACATACTACTGCATGTAGGGGACATTATTAAGAAGACGAAAGAAAAAACAAAATGGTCACAGTTAAACTTTCTAGGATTCAAAGACTTAGGAAGATGCTGCATATTGTCTATTACACAAAAATTGGAAAAGTATATTTTAAGATCACCAGAAGACTAAATATATAGAAAAAAAAAAAAGATAAATATAATGACCATCAAAGATGAATTTCATAATTTGCCCTAGAAATCTCTAACAGTTGCCATAGCTTTTCAACTCAATTGCATAAGGAGAAGATTAATGACATAAAAGGTATATTTATAAAAAGGATGGTAAAGCAAGCTTTAGTTAGCTATAAGATCACTGTCTTTGTATTTATCCATATAAGCTTTGAACAATATAAAATATATTTTCTTGTAGCTTGGATCATTTTCTCTACAGAAATGACCAATAATGATATAATGTACCAAGTAAAAAGAAACAAAGTATTTAAATTTATAAAATATTCCCTGGTAATAAAATATTTTACACTTACCTAATCTTATTCCGTGTAACAAACTCAAATTGTATATTTGGTAAAGATACCCCAAGTGAAAATAATTCTTTTGCATTTTCTAAATTCAATAGGTGTATTTTGGACCAATCATTTAATTTGATTTCAACAGGAAGCCTGGACAGTTGATTAACATCTCCTCGAAAACATGGATTGACTTCACGAGGTTGTTTGTAAGATACATGGTAGTTAAAAAGTAACAAAATGCTGCCTGGTTGTAAGCTGAGTGAAACAGAAGAAAAAAAAAGATTATAAAGCACAATTGTATCTATTTTTAGACTGTAGTGAATATTAAAACAGCTTAAGAAAAACAGCAAAGCTTAATTCTCAGTAACTTAATTTTAGATTATATGCCTCGCCTAAAGTTCATAAGATTGGTAATAATTTCAGACCTATCATATCCAATAGTAAGAGTTGAACATGTAATGTAGCAAAATTTATAACTAAAAAACTCTCATTTTTAAGGGATAAAAATAAATACACAGTTAAGAATTCGTTTGAATTTGTGGAAAGAACTGAGCATGTAATTTTAGATCAAAAAGATATTTTGGTGTCTTTTGATGTTGTGTCAATGTTCACCAAAGTACCTGTGAAAAATGCTATTGAATGTTTTGAAAAAAAACTGAAAGAAAATAATAATTCAGTATTAGAAATAATTAATAGCAAGGTTTATAAACAGAACAAAGGTTTAGCTATGGGTTCTCCTTTATCTCCGTTATTGTGTGATTTATTTATGGACAGTTTTGAAAGTGAAGCACTAGAAAAACCAGATAAATAACCTGAAGTTTGGGTAAGGTATGTGGATGACACATTTTTGATTTGGCAGTATGGTAAAGATGAACTAGCTAATTTTGGTAATAACATTGATAATTCTATAACATTTAATTATGAAGTTAAGATTAATGGTTGTTTATCTTTTTTGGATGTTTTAGTGAGTAAAAATAAGGATAAATTGGAAACTACCATTTATCATAAACCTTTCTCTGTAATTAGACCGCCACATCAACAGCCTTGTCACACTAAATCTCAAAAAACCTGTGTTTTTTACTCTTATGTGGATAGGATATTAAAATTATGTTGTAAACAGGATGATATCAATAATGAGTTATTGTTAATTAAGCACATAGCAGTGGAAAGAGGTTTTAATCCAGATGCTGTTGACAGAGCTGTCATAAAACTAAAAAAACAGGGATAAAAATATTAAGTTAAAACCATTTGCTGAAAAAAGTAAGAAAGACTGTTTAGTACTATCATATATACCTGGTTTATTGTGTCAAATGATGAAAAAATTAAAAAACAAATAACTATTTTTCCAATATATGCAAACAGATAAACAAAGCAGTGAAATTCTTAATACAACTAAAGATACAATTGATTTGATGGAAACATTTGGCATATATAAAATATTATGTGAATGTAAAACAAACTAGAAGAAATTTAAAATTCAAACTGAATGAACATAAAAGAAATGTTGAAAATAATAATATTACTATTTCACCTTTAGCAAAACATGTTAGTGAAACTAATCACACAATTCAATGGTAAAAAAATTGTTATTTTAGCACAACCTGGAAATTTAATTGGTATGAATATATGTGAATCTATTGAAATAATTAAATGTAAAAAAAGTAAATTTAAATTATTGAATAAGGATGATGGACCTGATAGAAATGTTGTCAGCAGATGGCGTGAAATCCTTTAATATGTAAATTGGTGATTCGATAATTGTATAAATAAGTGTTATTTTTGCAAAACACTGCACTCCTGAGGATGAAGCAGTAGTATATGTTGAAACATATAGAGTGTATGAGATTGGTTTCCAGTCTCATCTGGATTTTTTACCACTCTTTATCCTGTACAGTAAGTTATTGTATTTTAATAATTTGGAGACTGGAAACAATCTCATTTTTATAGAATTGTGTATAAAATAATCGTTGTTTTATAAAACTTGTGAGTTTTTAACATTTACCTAAACACTATGTACACAGAAAACTTAATATATTGAATATCTATCATTAATCCAATGATATGGGAAGGTCAAAGTGCAAATGTCATGGCCTTTTCTAGTTAAATTCAAAATCTTTACTATCAATATATATATATATATATATATATATATATATATAT